AAGTCTTACCTTAGCTCACCACCTCTACTGACTAAAGCCAAAGATGGAGAAATCCTCTATCTATATCTGGGAATTTCAGATGAAGCCATTAGTTCGGTTCTGGTAAGAGAAGAAGCCAAGCAACAGAAACCAATATATTATATCAGTAGTGTGCTGCATGGAGCCGAACTGAGGTATCCTATAGTTGAGAAAGCAGCTTTAGCAGTCATCACTTCGGCCAGAAAGTTGAGGCCGTATTTCCAGTCGCACCCGATCATTATTCTTACAGACTAACCCCTTTGGCAGATTCTGCAAAAGCCTGAGTGTTCTGGAAGATTAATTAAGTGGGTAGTAGAACTGGGGGAGTTTGAGATAACATTTCAGCAGAGATCTGCAATCCGAGCTCAGGCACTGGCAGATTTCATTGTAGAGTGCACTCCAGGTAATTCCATTCCTACTCCGGAGCCCAATGACTGGACCTTATATGTTGATGGGGCATCTAGTAGCAAAGGTTCAGGAGCTGGTGCTCTCTTGATTGGCCCAGATGAATACCGAAGTGAACATGCTCTAAAATTTAACTTCGATGCAACAAACAACATGGCTGAGTATGAAGCCCTGCTACTGGGTCTGCAGCTAGCCTTGGAATTAAAACTCAGTGCGATCCAAGTATACAGTGACTCCCAACTGGTGGTGAACCAAATTAACTCAATTTGCGAAGTTGTTGATCCTGTGATGGTGAAATATGTAGCTCTGGTGGCCAAGCTGAAGTGCAAATTCCAGAAATTATGTCTGAGCAAAATCCCCCGAACTGAGAATGAACAGGCAGATTCACTCTCTAAATTCGCCTCTGATAGTTCTTCACATTCCAGATCAGTTTTTGTGGAGGTCTTAGATGAACCAAGCTTCGTGAAGCCACGGGTGATGGAGATCAGCACCGACCCAGGCACACCAAGCTGGACTGACCCAATCCTTTCCTTCTTACGAGATGGGATAGTACCTGAGGACAGGCAGGAGGCAATGAAGTTGAGGAGGAAAGCATCTCGGTATACACTTGTTGATGGGATCCTTTATAAGCGATCTTTCTCTCTACCTCTTCTACGGTGCTTGAATCCCTATGAAGCAGAATATGCACTTAGGGAGGTGCATGAAGGTGTCTGCGGAAGTCACGTGGGTGCTCGAACTTTGGCTCAGAAAGTCCTTAGACAGGGTTATTATTGGCCCAACATGTACAAGGATGCCACTCACTTTGTTCAGAGATGCTTGAAATGCCAGTTCTTTGCACACCTGACTCACCAGCCTACAGAAGAGCTCACTACTCTGGTAGCACCATGGCCATTTGCTCAGTGGGGATTGGATCTTTTGGGCCCATTCGTGAAGGGGGTTGGTGGTGTAACCCACCTGATCGTTGGTGTAGATTACTTCACAAAGTGGGCTGAAGCTCGGCCGTTATCCAGTCTTACTTCCAAGAAGGTTGAAGACTTTGTTTTCAGCTCAATCATCTGCAGATATGGGATCCCGAATCAAATTGTGGTTGATAATGGAACGCAATTTAACTGCACCTCTTTTCGAGATTTCTGTTCCAGCTATGGGATTAAATTGCAGTTCACCTCAGTTTACCATCCGGAGTCCAACGGTATGGTCGAATTTGTTAACAAGTGCATCTTAGAAGGTATAAAGCCGAGGCTGGAACAACACAAGGCCAAGTGGGCAGACGAGCTCAACAACGTCCTCTGGGCATACAGAACTACGAGTTGAACTGCTACAGGTATTACTCTACACCTGGCCTATTTGATTAAATTTATATTACTCTACTTCTTCAGCTACGATTTTACCGTAGAGCAAATATGCATAACGTGTAAAGCG